AGTCATGAAAAATACACGACGGGAGGTTTGTCGCTATTCTCGGCCTCTGGGGGCCATTACCATGCCTTTTTTTGATCTGCGGGTCGAGAGCGAACCTCTTCCGATAGAAGCTAAGCGGGCCGCGCATACCCTTACCGGGCATCGTGACCGTCAAAAAACGACGCAGGATGTAACACCGGTCCTGGGGAATGGGTCTGGACCTTTGGGGGTCGCGTCGTGAAAAATCATGACGTCGGGGGTCTGGGTCTCGAACGTTCCCAAGTTCCCCCCTGCACTGAGATCCGAGCCGCGTCTGCAGGTGAGTCCACGCCGTCTCGTCTCTGCTAAGGCTGCACGCAGCCGCTTTGGGAATCCTGGACGCCGCCACCCTTTCCAGCCTCATCAGGGCCTCCTCGATTGTGGCAGCAGCAGCAAGCCCTGGCGGGGCCCCCCGCAATGCCTGCCCCAATAACGCCTGCTCGTCCACGCTGTCGCTAAGGCCCCTCCTTATAACAGCGGCCCATCCCCCCGTTAGCTGCTGAAGCTCCTCAGCACCCAGCTGCCTCGCGCCAAGTAGGGCGGCCCTCAAATCCACTCCAAGCCATGCGCGATCTCCTTTGTGCCCCCCCCCTTCGGGTGCCAGTGCCCGGGCGGCTTAGGGGCGCTAGGTCCTCCGAGCCTCGGGAATCGCGGGTGAAGTGCCAACTCCCCCTCCTGGCTGGTCAGCAGCGCCGCCGTTGGCCCAGTCTGGCCCTGGCAACTCCTCATGCTCTGCGCCGCCTCCTCAGCGAAGATGACGCGCCCCTCAGTCGTCTCCTTCTGCCCTCGGGCGACGGCCGCAAGCCTCCTCCAACTTCCTTCAGCGCCCCCGAAATCCGAGCATGCATCGGCCTCCTCACAGCCGCAGCCTAGGCGGGCCATAGCGGGCCAAAGTGCGTTCGTCCTGGGCGCATCCGCCACCGCCGCCTCCGCATTCGCCTGAAGGACGAACGCAGCGCACCTTCTTGCTATTTCGCCCGTGTCGTTGGTGAGAAACGCGGCATCGATGTTTGCGCACCCTCGCTGGCTCCGCTGCCACTCCGCAGCCCCTGGCGGCCATGCCGCCCCCGCGGGGCCCGGGCCCCCCGGATGGCGGCGCCATCCGCGCCACCGCCCCTTTCTCCGCCCCGGCCTTGCACGAAGACCCCAGCGCTCCTCTCCGGTCGGCGAGGGCCGCCGCCCCTGTCAGCAGGGGCCAGGTGCGCCGACGCCCTCTCCTCCCGCACGCGAGCTGCAGCGCTGCCGGCCGGTCAGGGGCCCTCCTCCTGTTCCTGCCAAACCGGGGCGCGACGCAGCCGCCCCTGACTCAGGCATCTGGACCCGCCTGGCACCAGGCCTGCCTCCTCAGCGAGCTGCCTGGCCTCTGCGCCCTGGGCGCGCGAGGAGGCGTCGGCCACGACGTTGCGGCAGGTCCTGAAGTGCGAGCTGGCCACCCCGAAACCGTAGACAACCTCCAAGCACGTGGTCACCGCGATGAGGGAACTCGCATATCTTGCCATCGCTCGGACGTCCATGTGGCTTTTTTTTTGCGGTTTTATTGCGGTGTTTGTGCGTGTCGGACGTCCCATCGCTCGGACGTCCATCGCTCGGACGTCCCATTGTGTGGTTTCGTGCGTGTTTTATTTTTTCGCAGGATGATCCAGGAGGCTCCTAAGTGATCCCCGCCGAGAAGAAATGCACACGTCCGAGCGATGCCAAGATAGCGGATGCGTGCCCCCCTGTGCTGGATCCAGGAGTGCGTGTTGCAGTCCCCATGCATGGCCGCGCCGCCTGCCCACCAGCCTTCGAATGCCGCTTGATTCAGGAAGCCAGCAACGGCGATCAAGACACCGCCAACCTCTGCACCTACAGCTTCTCGATCAGCGTTCGAGAAGACCTCGACGTAGGGAAACGAACACTTGGAGTTGACCCAGTCCACCGTGGCAGTGCGCCTGGGCGCCGCAACACCTGTGACCCAGGTGACGCGGCAAGTCGAGGCCTGGCACAGCCAACTTCTTGGCGATGGTGAGCGCGCCCTCCAGTGCGCTGACGAACCCAGCCTTCTACTTGCTCTTGTCTGCCGCCAGGACTCTTCCCACCTCCATAGCCTGCTCAAGTCCTGCCAGCTCCGCAACGCAATCCAGTTGTTGGTGTCGATGGCAACAGGCTGCACGATGCCTAGATGCCCTCGCGCGCAGCGCGAGAAAGTCGTAAAAGGTGTGGAAGAGACCGCCCTAGAGCCGCCTCGTGGCAACCCCAGGGCGGAATCCTCTTTGCAGAGACAGGCAGGGCAACTGGCAATCGAGGAGGAGACAGCCAGCCGCCGCACACATCCTGCCCCACGTCAGGGAACAGGGGGTATAAAACCCTCTCAAATCAAAAGCACCATCACAAGTGAATACAAGTGAAAAGACGTGTATGGGGTGCGCTTCGGCACCAGCTGGGATTAAAACTATACAAACCGGATTCGGGCGAGCACCCCAGAGAAGAGGACGACGACGACCCAGACACCCCGCAACACGGGACCCCCCCCTTCACAGCCGCACCGCCTGCGCGAGCCGCCTCGGCAGACAGCAGCGGTGGGGTTCAATACCGCCTTATGCCCAGGCTCCCCCCCCCCCCGAAGGGAGAGCCAGCAACCAGGCGGCAGAACACGCGCACCATGCCATGAGCCGATTAGGGGCGCAGGCGGGAGGCGCGAAGCGTCAAGGAACCCTGTGCGCAAAGGAGCCCGGCGCGTCGCGCGGCCCCTCCCCCAGAGGCCCGGGATCCCAAACCCAGAGTCTCTGCGGCTAGCCCTCCTCTGGCCGCCGGTGACAAGGCAAAGCCCCCGTCCATGCACGCCCCCGCCCCACAGTGGAGGCAAGGGCCGTCTCCGGATGCCGCAGAACGGCTCTGTAGACGCCGCGCAGCGCACGGCCCCGGCCCTCCGGATGGGCGTAGGGGGGTAGGGCACTGGCGTGCCTGCCCACGGCGACTCAGCTTGCGCCGAGCGCCGCACGTCCCAGCTGCCCAGGACGTCCCCGCAACGCAATCCATCATATTGGCAAGATGACTTTATGGCCTGCAAGACCGCCCCAAAAAAACTTCCAAGTCAGCTAAGATAGTCCCAAGAGACATCACGAGGCCTCCAAGCTGGTCGAAGGTGCCCCCAAGACGGCGCCCCAAGCGGCCCCACGACGGCCCAAGAGGCCCCCGATATAGCCAAAAAGGGCTCCAAGAGGCCTTCCAGGAGGGCCGAATAACCAAACATCGCATATTAGCCGTAAGCTTTGGTATGTCTTTCGGATTCCAATTTTTCTGGGCCCCTGACAGCCCAAGACGACGCAGACGAGCCCCCACAGGGCGGCCGACAGCGCACCATGAGGGCCCCGAGACGGCCCACAGAGGCCCCGATGACGTCTCCGAAGGCGTCAGGCCCGAGACAGCCAAGGATACCCACAGAGGCCCCTAGAGGGCCCCAGAAGGCCCCCAGAGGCTCCTCAAAGGCGCCCACGAGCCCCCCAGGACCCCCCTAGGAGCCCTTAAGAGGGTCTTTTGACTCCTCCTCCTCCTCCTCCTCCTCCTCCTCCTCCTCCTCCTCCTCCTCCTCCTCCTCCTCCTCCTCCTCCTGCTGCGTTCGCTGTAACGGTCACCGCTGTATCGTCCCCTTTTTCCTCCTCCTGCCCTCCTCCTCGTTCTCCTCCTCCTCCTCCTCCTCCTCCTCCTCCTCCTCCTCCTCCTCCTCGTCACTATCCCTCCCCCGCGAGTTTACCCCCAAGGTTTCCGCAACTGGTGGGGGAACACCTAGTCCAATAGCTTGGCCAGATGTGTGCCCGACCTTTGGTTACGTATGCGCTTCTAGAAGGCAGGGGGCGGCGGAGGTTCGCTGCAGCAGTCGGTCATAATTGATCAGGCATCGGGGATTGAGGTGCTCTGGCACGGCGCGGTCTGTCAATTCTTCGGCAATGGCCTGGCAACCCTCGCTGCCGACCAGACCCGTTCCCACACGCTGGACCCCGGTGGACACCTGATCCAAAATGGGTCAGGCGCCGGGGCTGCGGTGGCAGGGAGCATAAGTAAGGAGGACGAGAGAGGAAGGAGGAAGGCAGGGAATGGGGAGCAGGAGGTTGAGGCAGGGAATGAGAGAGTGGAGAGGATGGGGTCAGAAGTGCGCCAGCTTAGGGGTGCTTCAAAACTCACTCCTCCTTGCTCTCGTCCGCCAAACTCTCCTCCCATCTCCCACTTCATCCCACCTCAAGGCTTCCTCATCCTGTTTCTCCTCTTTCGTCTCCTCATCCTCCTCCTCATCATCAGCAACATCACCATCATCAACCTTCTTCTCTTCCTCTTCGTCCTCCCCCAACCCTCCTCCTAGAACCTTCCTTCTCTCCCTCCTCCTCCTCCCCTTCGTGTCTCCTTCTTGTAGAATCTCCCTCCGCTCCTCCTTCATTCCTCTTCCCGCCGCCTTCCCTCCACTTCATGATCCCACATCCCTATCTCCTCCTTTCTCCTCCATCCTTCCTCCGTACTTCCTCCGCCCTCGTCCCCCCCCTCTGCGTTCCCTTGCCCAGCCTCATGCTTCCCCACGCCCTCCTCCCCATCTCTTGCTGGGAGGATGTCGGATTGATGGAGGTCGTGGCGGTCAGGGTCGCAACTCGCTGGCTCCTGGACCCTTGCACGTCTGCCTTGGTTTTCCTTGCAGTCTTCCACCACCACTGACCCCGCTGCTAATTCGGCGGTGGACAGACCTCTCTTTACTAAACCACCCTTTAGTGAAAACGGCCTAGGGCCGAAACCGACGGACCTGGACCCGCAAAAGTAACGGCCGCGACGCCCTCTCGCGAACCGAAAACGGCCAAATCACTCATAGACGTGTCAGGGTAGGAGGCCTATCATCCTCCGACTAGGTAAGTCTGTTCTCATCCTGCCTCCGTTCCGTCTCCCTTGCCACGCCCTCTTCCGCCCGCCCCTCCGACGCCTGCCTCGCCTCGTCCTGCTGTGCACTGGCGGGGGCGCGGAACCTCTTTGGGATACTTGTACTCGAACTCCTCGTGGGTCTCCATGACCCACCAATTCGGCATCCTCTTCACAGCCACGAGTTTCCCTTCGTGTCTCATCTCGTCCACCTCCAGATCTACAGGCAAGACTAATAGGGAGGAGGAGGAGGAGGAGAAGGAGGAGAGGGAGGATGGCGAGGATCCAAAGGGCGACGAGATAGACGAGGAGAGAGAGAGAGAGAAAAGAGGATCAGAGAGGAATAATGATGATGATGATGATGATGATGATGATGATGATGATGATGATGATGATGCTGATGCTGATGCTGATGCTGATGCTGATGCTGATGCTGATGCTGATGATGACGGTGAAAAGGATGCTGCTGATGATAATTATGACGATTCTGCTGACGACGGCGACGACGATGATGATGATGGTGATGGTGATGATGTTAGTGAAAATGCTGCTGCTCCTGATGATAATGATGATGATGCTGCGGGCGATTCTGATGACAACGGCGAGGAGAATGATGATGTTGATGCTGATGCTGATGTTGAGGGTGATGATGGTACTACTGATGATGATGCTGCTGATGATATGTTGTTGATAATGCTGATGATGCTGCTGAATCTGATGATGCTGATGATGCTGATGATGATGATGATACTGATGATGATGATGCTGCTGATGATGCTGCTGATGATGGTGATGATGATGAGGATGATGATGATGATGATGATGATGGTGGTGGTGATGATGATGATGATGATGATGATGATGATGATGATGATGATGATGATGATGATGATGATGATGATGATGATGATGATGATGATGATGAACAGCTTTGCACATTTCTGATGGAGGCCACGCTGGAGACATCGTGATCGGGATACGGATTGGGGTAGGACTAGAGAGCTAAGGATTTCGGAACATGTGCTTGGGGATAGGAAACATGATCTGTAATAGGGGATTCGAGGGATAGGGATATCAATGGGGAAGCGCGTAGAGAGATAGGGATAGAGATAGGGAGATAGGGCAAGGCATGTAAGAATAAGAGGTACAGGATATGGATGGGATCTAGGCTAGGGACCAAATAACATCGGATATGGAAAAAAAACACAAGGATCGGTGCACAAGGGATGAAGGGCAGGGAGGGCAATGGTGGGGAAACCAAAAGGTACCGATACCGCTACTCCCCGGACCTCTCCTGGGATGCGTTCTGACCAGAACGTCGAGGGGAATCCAGCGGTGGCGAAGAGGGCCTCCCAGGAGGCCCCAAAAAGCGGAGAACGGCCAAAGGGTACGGGTATGGGTACCCTCTCCCTCTCTGGCATGGGAGGCCACGGGAGGCCAGGCCACGGGAGGAAGCCACGGGAGGAGGGGGAGGGGGAGGGGGAGGGGGAGGAGGAGGAGGAGGAGGAGGAGGAGGAGGAGGAGGAGGAGGAGGAGGAGGAGGAGGAGGAGGAGGAGGAGGAGGAGGAGGAGGACACCACGGGAGGACACCGCGGGAAGCAGCGGACCACCACGCGAGGCCACGGCAGGCCACGGGAGGCCACGGTGCGGCTCTCGGGCCGAGGAGAGAGCCCGCGTGGGTCGTGCTCACGGCACGGGGCGCGATGCCCCGGCACGGGCGAGCCCGGCGCAGGAGGCGCGAGCCGTGCCGTGTCCGCGCTCCTCCGGACCGCTCGCCGTGCCACCCCTGCACACGGATGCGTGTCCTGAAAGGGGCGCCAGCGAAAGGGACTCCCGAGACCGCAGCGGTGCGTTTGAGACCTCGAAGAGTGCGAGCGAGAGCGTCGCGCAGCGACCCTGTGGGCGAAGCCGAGCAGACTTGAGAAATCGGCATCGCCCGTCTCAAAAGTCCCTTTCCATGGGGTCCCTGTTGGAACCACATTACACATGCCCTCATGCATGGCCTTCCCCAGCCCTCCTGCCCCGCCCCCCCGTTGTATCACCGCCCGGGAGCGACGGGCAAAGCCGTGGCCTTCTCCTTCCCCTTCTCCTGCTGGTCCTCATCATCGTTGTTTGTTCTCCTCCGCCTCCTCCAGCCTCGCTTTTCCGCTTCCTCCGCATCCTCTTGCCGAACATCATTGTGCTCGTCGCCCGCCTTCGCCTCCTCATCATCCCGTGCTCGCCCTCGTCTTCCTGTACATGCCACGTCAATCCTGCTGGTCCTCCTCATCTTTTGTTCTCCTCCACCACCTCCTGCCTCCCTTTCCACTTCCTCCTCATCCTCTCTCCGAGCATCATTATGCTCGTCGCCCGCCCTCGCCCCCCCATCATCCCTTAGCCACGCACAGAGGGGGGTGGGGGGAGGGGGGAGGGCTTCTCAGAAGCACCCCTGCTTCTCAGAAGGCGCGGGCCTCATCTGTAGACGTAAGTCCAGCGCCTTCTGAGAAGCAGCCTCCTTCTGAGAAGCCCTCCCCCCTCCCTCCACCCCCTTGTGCGCGCCGCCAAGTCCCGTGCTCGCCCTCGTCTCCCCAGACACGCTGCACGTCATTCGAAAACCGAGGCGCCTTCCCGTGGTTGCGGGGCGCGCCCTGGATCGCCCGCACCATGGCGAAGCCGCCGGGCCTCCACGGCTGCACCTCGGCTGCCCGGGCTGGGTGGAGCCAGGCGGCGCACGGGTAACGCAAGGGGGGGGGGGGGGAAGGGACTGACAGGGTTATGTCGGGCACGCTCCTCTACAGGAGGAGAACTCAAAAACAATTAAGAAATAGTTGTAGGACTTTGGTTTTGTATTTTGTTATGTTTGAATGTGTTTCCGCTATTTTGTTTGTTTTTCTGTTCACAACAAAAAAATAACCCCAAATCCGCCTGTAGGGGGACATGCCCGACCTAATGACAGGGAGGAAGAGCGGCAGGGGGCGGAGGCAGGGGATGGAGGACAAATATTCAGACACGGAGAAAGGGCGCGGAGAGAAGAAGCGCGAGGGGCGGTGCAGATCTCCGTGTACTTAATGCGAGCTGAATCCGGACTGTGAAGTGCGGGCAGGGTGCTCGATCGAGAGAGGGAGAGAAACAGAGAGGGAGAGAGAGAGAGAGAGAACGAGAGCGGGAAGGACAGGGAGAGAGAGAGAGAGAGAGAGAACAAGAGAGAGATCGACAGCGCGCGAGAGAGAGAGAGAGAGAAAAGGGGAGGCACACAGAGGCAGAGAGAGATATCGACAGCGCGCGTTGAACAAGAGGGGGAAAGAGAATGAGAGAGAGAGAGAGAGACAGACAAAGAGAGAGAGAGAGAGAGGGAAAGCGAGAGGAGCGATATCCATGTGGGTAGGAAGATAACCATACATATATGTATCGTTTTTTTTCATATGACGGTTCCGTGATCGGGCCCCCATGCACCAGCAGAGGCAGCGAGGATAACACCCAGCAGGTTTCAGTTACCACGGCAGTACAGCGATTAGACTTCCAAGACATAGAAAGCTTCAGGCGTGAATTTCTGTCTCTCACATAGATGTTTAAGACTGCGCTGGAACTTCGCACCATGCGCCTTGGTCCTTCCGAGTTTCGCACGGGCGGACTGCAAGACAGAGAGCGAGAGAGAGAGAGAGAGAAACACAGAGAGACAGAGAGAAAAAGAGACGGAGCGAAGTAATATGTCCTTCGAGTATGGGGGTCAACTACAGATTTCATATTCCCCGAACTTGATGTTTCGTCGCATCTAGACAAGAAAAACAAAACGATCGTGGACTGCTACATTTTGTTTCGGCGACTCGGTGGACAAATCAATTTTGGGGTAAACCAACTCTGCATTTGATCTCCTCCTCGAGTCGTCGTCTCCGTTTGCGGTTCGATGATCCTCCAGTGGCCCGCTTGGGCCGTCTCTTCAGGGTGGCCCCCGCGAGGTCCGAGAAGCCCCAGACCCACGCAGCACAGTCCACACACACACACACACACCCGACGACATGATTTTTTCATGACGCGACCCCCAGAGGTCGGGACCCATTCCCCAAGACCGGTTGTTCATCCTACATTGTTTTTTGATGGCCCCGAGGGCCGGCGATGGCCCCCAGAGGCCGAAAATCGTGAAAAACCTCCCGTCGTGATTTTTTCATGACTCGAAGGGGTCTGGGCACGCATCACCGTCGGTAGCACCTGGCACGTAATGCAAGACAACATGCGCGAGACCGTGGTGCTCCGCGTGGACAGCCGTGCGCGGGAGGGCTCGTCGGCGCGCTGCCTGCGGCGCGTTTGTTGGGAGGCAGCCTGCGTCGCCAGCTTCCACAGCTGACCGGCCTCCGATGGGCCCAAACTTCGCACTCGTGGTAAATGCGGCGCGGGCATGTTTGCTAACTCTTCGATGGCGAACCCGCGCATACAAAAACCCAAGAGAAGCCGCGGTGCGGGATTACGCGCAAGCAAGTGCAACGCCGCCGACGGCTCACCTCACAGCATGCGCCACAGCCGCCTCCCTGAGGCTAAGGGAGCGGGCGACGTTCAGTATACAGCTGTCGGCGGAGCGGTGTGGGCAATGGATAAGAAACCATGGGATAAGGAATCCAGGGTCTGGAAGCCAGTCAAACTCCAACCGTGGATCGGCCATGGATACCACCGCTGCCCTCATCAAAAAAAGAACCCTCCAGGGTCTGAAGCCTCCTGGGCACGTTCCTTAACGAACGCCCCCACCGTAAATAACATATCCATCCTCCAAGATCCTTGCCCGCTGGCGAACGGAAGCGGCCTGGCGGGCCTTCCAGGCGTAAAACAACAGACATCGGCGGGTCCCGGCTGCCTGGGCGGTGGCGGCGGCCTCCATGTAAAATTATAGAGAGAGGATGCTCGACCCTCATCCCAAAACTGGCATGTTTCGCGTTCTGTGCCATACTGGATCACATTCCCCACAGTGTGCGCAGCGGAGCGATGGCAAAGCCTCGCCGGTGCAATGAGACAGCCGTGGCGCATGCCCTGCAACGAAACTTCCCAATCATCATGCGGCGAACGTCGTCAAGGCTCTACTAGTGAGCCGTTTTTGATCTCGACCGCCCCTGGGTGACTACACTCTTCCATCGCAGATGCCAGGCTGTTCTGCAAGTGCATGAACTGCAGCCCCATGCAACAGATCTGCTTGATTAATTCCAGCGGCGTGCCGGCGCGCCGAACATGGCGCCAAGCTTCAAAAGTGAACGTCGCCCGGCCTGCGAAAGCCCATCCTGCTTCAACGCCCAGAGGAACTCGCGGAGGATGCGATGTGCTCCTCGTCGCCTCCATCAACGGGGAACGGGCGTGGCCGCCAGGCGTTCCCAGCAGCCGTGGCACGCCCGTGAAAGCAGACCAGCAGAGAGCCGCCCCTGGCCCTGATGGGGCCCTTGCTGGAGCGGAAGGCCCTGATGAGGTCGATGGAGGCTCCAGGGCGCCAATGGCCTCGAGCTCGGGGGGTCCTAGAGAACGCGGGCGATGCCCTTCCTTCGGGGATGATGCCACGACGTCGGCGCCGCTCGGCCCTGTCTGCGCTCGCCTGGGTCCTGGGCCTGCTTGAGGCCAATCTTCGCGGGCTTCTTCCGCGGGTTCTTGATGGGGAAATCGACCCTCGACCCCAAAGTTCGCGACCTCCCCCGCCGCCGTGAATCCGTACGTGCCCGGAGCAGCTGGTACCCAATCAGTGACCTCTCTGGCATTGCTCGTTAAACAGCTCTCCGATGGGCAACGGGCGCATCGAGACGGGAGGTGCGCGCCCTAAACTGACGGCTGGCAATGCGCCCCAACCTGCCGAGGCACTCGACTGGTACCACATGGTGTGCTCGAAACTCCAGATCATCCACATGGATGGTGAAGATGGCCCCTGATGCGTCCTGAACTTCCAAGACAGACGGGGCCATGTGGTTTGATCTCGTACGCGGCGGTGCTGCTGCCTGCAACTACTCCGCGTCTGGGGCGCAGCTCACTGGAGCATGCCTGCACGGCCCATGGGGATCACGCGTGGCCACCTGTAACTTGAAATGCCAGAGCGCGACAGCGCGGCGGAAACGCCGTCGAACATCTCCCGTGCCGCAGCCCAGCATGGGCCGCACGTTGGCAGCGCCGCTTCAGATCGGCTATGAGGGCCCCGACGGCTTCACGTTTGTCATCTGCCACAGCTGTTCGCACGGCTTGCCATTTGACCCCTCTGGGGCCATGTTGAAGGGCTTGATTTGCCTCGCTGGGCCCCCCGTGCTTGGCAGTGCCCGCGCTGGACCTTGGAGATCATCCTGGAATAACATGAGAAAAAACCCGATCGGCCTCCTCCCCCCCCCTAAAGTCCCGGGACAATCAGACCGTGCGAACATGAGGCGGGGCGGGGGGGTCGCCCGCAGTCACGCGCGCCGAGAGGAGCTTCGATATCACCTCATGGGCCTCCGAACTCAAGTTGCTAGAGTACTCGGGGCGGGGGGCGGCATGTTGGCGCGGGTGGATGGTTCGCCAGTGGTCTGCCGCGCCGCCGACAACTGCGCGTCGAACTCAGCGGCGAAAGCGCAACTTCCCCCACCCGCCCCACCGCTTCAAAAAAAAATGCCCCACGGGGCGGGCTTCACCCCCTGAGGCCTCAGAACACCCGGCTGCCCAAGATGCACTTCTCTGCGTCTTTTCAACCTTGAGAGCGTCGCGGGGCTCGCATGTTTTGGCGATGCGGGCTAGGACTCAAATTTTGCCCCCGGGGCGCCCCGGGGCGGGCAGCGCAGCCGTGCAATGCGTCGGCCAAAATATTTTACGATGATAGGCTTCCAGATGTGCTCTCCATCGGGTCAGACATTGCGGCGGGGCGCGTGGAGGCGTCTGGCAGCGCTGCTCAACAAGCGCCGCAAGCACTGCGACTCGCTTCGGGACGCCCCTTTCCTCGGCAAGCTCCTGACCTCCTGCGATCTCCTGCAAGCTCAGCCGATGGCCCTCGAAAGCGCCCGATGCGGACTGCGTCGGGCAATGGGGAGCTTGACCGGCGAAGCTTCCTGGAACTGGCGTGGGGCCCTCCTTTGCGTCGCGCAGCTCGTCCATGCGCGGCTTACCCACGCGGCTTAGATCTGACCCTGGAGCCCTTGGTGCCCGGTGGACATGCCAGGCCCCAGCGGGGGGCAAAATGCGAAGGCTGCGAAGGTCCACCCAGAGGTCTAACTGCTCCCTGACTAGATGCCTACGCCTGCGCTCGAAAATCCAGCGGTCCCGCGCTGAGAAGGGGGTCGGAATGAGGCTCGCCCCCTCTTGTTGCTCCCCCGATTGGTTTCCACATAACCAACTAAATCGAGCTCGTGCCCCTGAACAATAGCGGTAGACGTTTTGCACAACATCTAGAAGTTAGACATCCTGGACCAAGCTGATCCACTCACTGTGCAGATCTCTTGAGTTGCGCTTGCCCCTGGCGGGCTCAAGAACATCCGGGCAGGACTGCGCCCCCTATCCCCCCCCCCCCGCGGCCCTGGATTGAGCGGATCGGCTCTTGGGGGCCCTGCCGGCAGCGCGACAGAGCGCTGCGGAGCCGGCGCAACAGCGCACCAGGTCGCTGCGCGGCAACCGCGCCTCGCCGCGCGGCGCTCTCGCGACTCGCCGCGGCTTACGACGGAGAGCGCGCGCAGCTGCGTCGGCGTCG